CTCCCAGGCCCCACCACTGGAAGAACTTTGAGGGGTGAGGTGGAGACTCCAGGAGGGGGACACTCCTGTGTTACTTTAATCTTACAGGACAGACGGAGGCCTTCCTCTGGGTTGCTGAGTCACAGGGGGCCACCGTTCAAGGCAGAAGATCCTCCCAGAAGTAAAGATGGTGCGTTTGGCAGGAGCATCTCTTGCTTAAGCCAAATTCTAGCAGCACCCCATGGCCGCTCCCAGGGGTGTGTGCAGGAAGCCAAGGATCCCCGACCTTCAGCCCAGCTCCTTCCCACAAGAACCACATGCCCTTCTCGGGGGCCCCACCTCCTACGTCATTTTAGGCATAGACCGCATGTGCATAAGGCAGGCCCATGGTGAGTGCCTGAGTAGCACAGGGGTTGCGCAGGGGTGAGGGATGCAGGGGAGCAGGTGAGTAGGGAGAAAGGCACCAGGACGACCTTGGGTGACAATTCCTGAGTCCCTGACTGCTCCATTCTCTGATAAAACCTCAGGCATTTATCTGACACCTCCTGTGTGCCCCGAGCTGAGCACCCCATACGCATGATCTCAATCCTAAGCTGTGAGCTTATCCTCATCTGAGAGTCACTGAGACTTAGAGCCCATCACTCCCAGGGTTACACCCAGAGTAGCTCTGGGGAGCCAGGATGGAAGCCTGATGTGTCTGAGCCAAAGCCCGGGCCTCTGGCTGCTGTGGGGTGGGGAGGGGTTCTGGGATCCAGGCTCTGCAGAACCAGGCAAAGGGGAGGCACAGCTGCAGAGGAGCCTCGTCCTAGATTAGGGAGACCGGCCGTGAGGCAGCCAGGAGCACCCCGGGGGGAGGTTTTCCCTGCAGCCCTGATATGCCCCTTGGTAGCCCCTTTCCCCGGAGCCTCCCTCAGCCTCTGAGAAGAGCTGTGCTGACCCAGGGTTAGGAAGTGGGGGTGGCAGCCACATTGGCAGGCCGGGGTTGGGAGCGCTTACACCACTTGCAGGATGCCCGTGGCTGTGAATGTCTGGCCTTTCAGTTGGACGATGGGATCCACCAGGCTCTGCTGGCTCCGGCTGGTCCGGAATTGGGTGAAGGTGAAGTGGATCTTCGGGAAGTTTGAGTACTGCATCAGTGCGAACTGCAAAGGCCAGCGGGGAGGGCCCAGGGTTCAGTGCCTGTTTCTATTGTTTATTTTAATTTTTTGTAGAGACAGGTCTCTCAAGCTCCTGGCCTCAAGTGATCCTCCTGCCTCAGCCTCCCAAGTAGCTGGAACTACAGGCACACGCCACCATGCCTGGCTTTGTTTTTTGTTTTGTTTTGTTTTGGTTTGGTTTTGGTAGAGACAAGGTCTCACTATATTGCCCAGGCCGGTCTCGAACTCCTGGCCTCAAGCAATCCTCCCACCTCAGCCTCCCAAAGTGCTGGGATTACAGGTGTGAGCCACCACACCAAGCCATATTGTTTTTAGTTTTAATAAACTTTATTTTGGAATTATTTTGGATTTACAAACCATTTCCCATGTGTTTTGAGGCCCTACAAATAATATACTGAAACCCAGAGAAGAAAATTCATTGGCCCAAAAATACAAAATATAAACTGGAAAATCTAAACCAAATGATGTTCCCTTCACAGTTTACTAAAAATAACCTTGCCAACCACAATATTTGCTACCCTGAGCTTATAAAAAAATTTATCACACATTAAATCAATTTGTGTATTTCCTTGATTCTCAAGTATTTGTGGCTGGGCGTAGTGACTCATGCCTGTAATCCCAGCACTTTGAGAGATCAAGGTGGGAGGACTATTTGAGCAGGAGTTGGAGACCAGGTTGGGCAATATAGCAAGACCCCATCTCTACTAATAAAAATTTTAACAAATTAGCCAGGCATGGTGGCATGGACCTGTAGTCCCAACTACTCGGGAGGCTGAGGCAAGAGGATCACTTGAGCCTAGGAGATCAAGCCTGCAGTGAGCGATGATTGCGCCCCCACACTGCAGCCTGGATGACAGAGCAAGACCCTGTTTAAAAAACAACAAATTAGGCC